AACGGTATATACAATGGAGAGAAATGGTACCATGGAAGCTAAGGAGTGGTGCTTTGGTCTCTTGAGGCGTTCTTCCTTCGAGACGTGCGCATTGGAGCTTTTTCTTCCCGGTGGGGAAGCTCTTGAATGGAGTGTCGTGTAGGATCAATGTGAGCTCTTGTAGAAGGTCCGCAGGGGGAATGTCAAGCTCTTTCGATAAATGAGACGAGTGTCTCATCATTTTCAAACGGAGAGGTTCCTCGCTCCTCTTAATCTCTCTTCCCCGCCTTCTTCTTCATTCTCCTAATAATTCGGAGGGGCCAAGAACTCGGATGAGACATAATCCGGTGGTTGGAGCTTCTTCACTTTCTCAAGTAGCTTCCCAATTACATAAGATTGCCACTTGTTGATCTTCCTTTGAAACTTGATGACGGATTGAAGCAACTTCTCCGTCTTGGTATTTGGCACAAATTTGAGCTCGGGGAGATCATACTTTTTGAGGCGGTAAGGGTCATCTCGTTGGGGTGGAGGCGGTGGCGAGTCTTCTTCAGTCTCTATAGGTTTTTCCTCATTTGGTACTTGATATTCCTCCTCACTTAGCAAAAACTCAATCTCTTCATGATTCTCTAGAGTTGTGATCTCTCTTGAAGGAAGTATGCATTCCAACTTGTTATCCTCTCGATCCATGTACAAGTAGATGAATTGGTTTGCATCATTGTTGCATTTCAAGGAGCAAGCCTGCACCAAGTTTTCAGAGTCAATGTATTCACGCTTTGGGAGAGCTTTGAATGGAGAAAGATCTACTCCCGCTTTAACAAAAAGTGTTGTGAGAGTACCACCTATGTAGATGGACTTCGTCTTGCCCTTGATTACCTAGTTCTTGTATTCATCTAGATTAGAAGCCAAGATGCATCCATAGTTCACATCATCTCCAAGATCATCATCTACCATCATTCAATCGCCATCATCATTTGCATCTCTTACCAATAATTTTTTAACGCCTTGGAAGATGAAACACATCTAGGAAACCGTAGTACCTAAAAGCATGAGCGAGAAGCTTCAAGGCGTAGCAAATTACCGGGTGACGGACTTTCGTGATCTTTGCCTTGTGACTATTGAAGTCCCCTTTTGCTAACACATCCCAAAGGAAGTGGATTCCTTTAAACTTTGGGAAGCTCATTGCGCTCTTGTTCTTAAACCCGTAGGCTTCACAAATCTCGGGAATTAATATGTAGAACGCTGTCGCCTTGACCTTGAAGTTTATTATTCCCTCTTTGGCAATTGGCACCGTTGGGTTCTTAAACGTAGACTCCATGGTGCTTAAGAAATCAATTGTAGACTCATGGAATGAAGGGTTATCCATAGAGGTAAAAACGTCTAATCTCATCTTAGTGAAAAACCCGTCAATAGTCTCGAGCAAACCCATCTTCTCTAGGATCTAGCGATTTTCAAATCGCGTTGGAAATGAAGGAAGTGGAGAGATGACTTTGTGAGCCTTCTTCTCTTCCGTTTTCCAATGAGCAACATGTGCATTTTACGTTTCACTTGCGATCGTTGTCTTTGAATGTTTGGGGTTGCTCACGTGCCTCCCGCCATTGTAACAAGAGAAGAATCATAGAAAACTATATAAAAAAAGTCTCATATTGCTACTAAAAATTTTAAATGAGGCATAATAAAGGTATCACTAGCAATGTCTACTCCAACAATAACCAAAATATTCATGAGAACACAAGATGCAATCAATTTCAAACTCGAGTTGACATCCTTTAAAAAATGCAAGTGACTCAATTTTTGAAAAATTGCAAACTATCCTATGAATGAATTGGGATCCAACCGTTAAGTTTACTAATGTCTAAAGCATCACAAGAAAGAGACAAAGACATTAAAAGCCCCAAATTCTAACGAATTTTGCAATTTTCGTCACTTTTTCACATGAACCCTAAGGCATAGAAAATCTAATTCTCTCAACAAAACAAGCAAAACAAGAACCAAAAATCATTACACAAAGGTGAACAAAGTCTAAAAATAGCACAAAACTTGCAAATCGAGCACTAAATTGACCTAGACATCAAACTTTGAAAATTTTCAAACTTTGGAGAAATCGTGAAGAGTTGAGAGTAGAAGATGTTACCTTGTGAATCCGAGAATAAAGATGCTAAAATTGGATTCTATGGAAAAAAACACGTGAACTGGAGAATTGAATTACTAAAAACAAGCAAGAATAGAGAGATGTATAGAGGAATATAGCCAGAAGATTATAAGAAAAGAGTGAGCAAGAGGAGCAATATTCGCAATCCGGCCATCCGCTATGCTCATAAGGTTCTCGCTCATACATTGTTTGCAAGGCGAGAGACGGCACGAGTAAATGAGGATGAGATGTCACTCATTATTGATGAAATCAAACCAATGCTTAAAAAGTGTGAAAGCGGTAAAATGATCATAGGAATGAGAAAAATGATTAGCAATGATTTCATTTTAGCTAAGCAATTGTTGTATTACAAAAGCACTTGGGTAAAGTCATCTAAGCCATCATCACAACTTAGCATTGGTGGGATTATAACTCCGATTATTTGTTTTGTGGAGTCAAGTTGGGAGAACGAGAGGAAGAGCTAACTCGAATCGATGCCCTATAACTCGAATCGATGCCCCATATCATTCCATCCCCATCATCATTTGCATCTCTTACCAACAATTCTTTAACGTGTTGGAAGATGAAACACATCTCGGAAACCGTAGTAGCTCCCGTTTCACCTCTCCCAAAGAAAGCATGAGCGAGAAGCTTATGGCGTAGCGAATCACCGGGTGACGGACTTTCGTGATTTTTGCCTTGTGACTGGTGAAGTCCCCTTCTGCTAACACATCCTAAAGGAAGTGGATTCCTTTAAACTTCGGGAAGCTCATTGCGCTCTTGTTCTTAAACCCATAGGCTTCACAAATCTCGGGAATTGATATGGATAATGCCGTCGTATTGACCTTGAAGTTTATTATTCCCTCTTTGACAATTGACACCTTTGGATTCTTAAACATATACTCCATGCTGGTTAAGAAATCAATTGTAGGCTCTTGAAATGAAGGGTTATCCATACATTTAAAAGCGTCTAATCCTATATTAGTGAAAAACCCGTCAATAGTCTCGAGCAAATCCATCTTCTCTAAGATCTAGCGATTTTCAAATCGCGTTGGAAATTAAGGAAGTGGAGAGATGACTTTGGGAGCTTTCTTCTTTTCCGTAGTCCAATGAGCAAAGAGTGCATTTTGCATTTCACTTGCGATCGTTGTCTTTGAACGTTTGGGGTTTCCTCTCGTGCCTCCCGCCATTGTGCCTATAAGAAACTCAAAACCAAATAAGTAACAAGAGAAGAATCATAGAAAACTATATAAAACAAGTCTCATATTGCTACTAAAATTTTTAAATGAGGCATAATGAAGGTATCACTAGTAATGTCTACTCCAACTATAACCAAAATATTCAAGAGAACACAAGATGCAATCAATTTCAAACTTACGGTTCATATTCTCAAAAAAAATTCAAGAGACTCAATTTTTGAAAAATTGCAAACTATCCTATGAATGAATTGGGATTCAACCATTAAGTTTACTAATGTCTAAAGCATCACAAGAGCAAGACAAAGACATTAAAAGCCCCAAATTCTAACTAATTTTGCAATTTTCGTCATTTTTTCACACATGGACCCTAAGGCATAGAAACTCTAATTTTCTCACAAAACATGCAAAATAAGCACCAACAATCATTACACTATCTTGTTTTACATGATAGCGCTACATTGATGAGTCAAGAGAACCATACCTTGCAATGTTTTCTTCTTCTCTAACACTGCATCTTTAAAGAATTTGTTGTAAGTCGGGGTTAACAAAAATGCATCTATGATAGGCATTGTGATAATAATTTCTTTCATTTGCTAATCAAACATTGCTCTATACTTCTCCAATTGTTGCTTTTTAAAACGGCCCGGGAATGGTAACTTTGGTTCATAAAGTGGAGGCACAAAGAGAGTCTCTTTCTTAGAATTTTTTTTACCCTTTTTGGAGCTTCCTTCTTGGACCTCGTCTTCTTTAGACACTTCAACCACTTTACCCTTTTCTTTATTAACAACCTTTTCCACATCAACCTCTTGTTCACAAACTTTCTCATTCAATACCTCATCCTCTTCAATCTTAATCACTACCTCCCCTTCTTTAGGCTTAATGTCCCTATTGAGCTCTACACTAGGCAATGCTTTACCACTTCTAAGCATTATGGCATTGATATATTCTTTGGAATTTGGTTCTGGTTTACCCGGTAAAGTATCCATTGGACGCTTGGATGTGGATGATGATTGGCTATAAACATGGACATTCAAACGCTCTATTTTGGCATTGAGCTCACCATACATGTCATCAACCTTGGTGTGCATGCTTTTTATTTGGGTGGCATGTTCGTTTGTATCATCCGCTTAAGATAGAAGATTCGATGAACTCCCTTGGTTTTGGTTTTGGTGGTAGGTTTGAGGTTTTGGTTGGTAGTTTCCTTGAGTTTTAGGTTGATAGTTAGGTTGTTGGGTAAACCGGGAGGTTTTAAGGGTGGGTAGCTTTGATCTTGTGGGTTCTCCACATTAGTGCCCCAATAAATAAGGTTAAGATTTGTTTCTATAGTTGGGGTTGAACTTGTTGTAGCGTTGTCCTCCAACATAGTTGACCTTCCAAGTTTTCTTGATAGCTTTGGTAGACATTACTCTCGGATACAAAGTGGACTGTTTTTGATTAGTAAGAATCATCCTATCCATCTTATCATTCAAAACTTTGATTTCTTTGCGGTGTAGATCGCTCATCACATTACTTTTCCTTGAAGTGCGGTCATAATCTTCACCATAGTTACCATCATTTTGAGCTAGATTCTTTACAAAGACATACCATCCTCAACATCTTGGCCCAAGAAATTTCCATTACTCGCTGTGTCTAACAACATCCGAAATTTAGGGAGAACTCCTCTATACAAGGTGCTTAGTAGAGACTCATTAGAGAAACCATGATGTGTACATTGCATTTTATATCCCTTGAACTTTTCCCAAGCTTCACAAAATTTTCATTGCTCTTTTGAGTGAAGCTAGATATCTCATTTCTCAACCTTACCGTTCTTGTTGTAGAGAAATTTTTTGAGAGGAAGGCTCTTTTGCATTGATCCCAAGAGGTGATGGAACTTTGAGGTAGATTCTTCTCCCAAATACGAGCTCGGTCTCCAAGAGAAATCAGGAAGAGTCTAAGTTTGAATGCATCTTCTGAGATGCCATTGATCTTCACCGTGCTACAAAGCATATCAAATTGGTCTAGTTGATCTAAAAGGTCCTCCATTGATAAACCATGAAACTTATAACCTTGAACCATGTTGATGAGGCTTGACTTAATTTCAAAATTGTTGTTCTCAACTGGAGGAGCGTGAATACCGTTCCTATTTGTACGGATGTTTGGTGGATAAAATACTCCAACTGGATGAATAGCTCGTGGTGCATGGTTAGGAACTCGTGGTGCTTGGCGAGGAACTTGCTCACCATTGCGTTGGCATTTTCATTATGACCGTCATCTCCATCAACCACCGGTGGATGTTTTTGATCTATTCGTAATCGTGCTAGATGTTCAATGCGTTCCCCTTTCTCGTCTTGCACGTGAATTCTCTCTCTCAAACCTGCCAATATCTTCAAACCGCTCAACCAAATGCTTTTGACCGTGACTTCGCAAATGCATACACCTTAATTAGCAAGAGAAAGATCAAAACACCAAAGCAAGAAGGTTAAAAAATAACATAAAGAAAATGTCTAGTCTCAAGCAACATAACGAAATCCTAATGGTTAATGTAGATTGCAAACCGGCAACGGCACCAAATTGATGTAGTACTTTTCTCAATTAAATATCGAACCATAATTTGCAATTAATCAACTCACTAGAAACACACGCAGAAGCTTAATCTAGGCTAACAAGATGATTTGGTTTCGTAAACTTGACTAACAAAATAAATAAATAAACCAACAATACAAAACAAGGCAATAATAAAAAAAAGACTAACAAGATTCAGAAATAAACAAAGCGGGGAATAAATAAGTTACTAAACGATAATTAAAGCGAATTCTAGGGTTAAAGAAAATTGATTTGGAATGATAAATAGATGGATTATGGAGCTGATCAAACAACTTCTAATAAGCAATGATCTGTAGGCCATAGAACACTAAGCGACACTAACACATTTCCATGACATTAGTCTATTTACTAATCAATTAATCATCAACTTTTTCCAGAGGCAATCGATTAACTAACAAGCATTATAAACAAGTCTATCTAGCCACTAAACACCCTAGTCAACAATTTCTAAAGGTAAGGAATATAAGGGGGTGATTGGCTGAAGAGTTTTAAGGCTTTAGAAGGTTTAACAGCTCTTACGACCAATAGTTTTACCAATCATGCTTTTTCAGATTTTGTTTTCTTTAAAGTCGTGACAGTCTCTTTTTTTTTTTGTTTTTTCTTTTCTCTTATTTTCTAAAGTCACGTAGTTGAGGCTTTTGTAAAACTGCGAGAAAAAACAAACCCAAATCTTTTTCTTTTTCTTTTTCCCCATTTTGTGTTTCTTCCTAAGAGAAATAAAAACTCTTCATAAATCATCGATTATATTATCACAACAATATTTTGAGTCATTAACCATCATTTCTTTTTTTCCATTCTTTTAAAATCCATTTTTCTTCATAAAAAATCTGGCCATTGTTGGTGTGAAATAGAGGTAGATAAAAATAATAAGAAGAAATACCCATATAAATTGATAGAACGAGAATTATATCAAAAATTTGATAAAACAAGAATTTATATTGATGAAATTGATACAATCCAGAATTCAAATTATATTAAATAAATTGATATAAACCATAATTTATATTGTATGAAACTGATATAACCCATAACTTAAACAAATGAAATTAATAGAACCGAGAGTTTCGTTTGTGAAATTGATAGATTTAAAATCTAGAATTAGTTTTGGAGAATTGGAAGAAAACCAGATTTGATAATGAAAGCATCTTCAAAGTTTTTTGTGTACCTATTTTAATATAATTTTATGTTAAACTAATTTCTCGTTCCAGATGTATATTACACTAATCATTTATTTATGAATTTTTGTATTTTAATTTTTTTTTATTAATAAATTTTAGTTTTGTTACTATGTTGCTACATAATTTCAATTTTACCATAATTTCTATTTATGAAAAAAATATTTAATAATTAAAAAAAAAATAACATTCACAGCCAAAACTAACAGCCATTACCAATCAGCCCCTAAAGCACTTAAAGGTTTTGGTTCGAGAATTTCATCGAACACCTTCTGGGCAATCTAGCTTTATAATCAACCAATAAGCAAGGATCTTAAATAATCTAACCCTAAACTCCATAACCCAACATCTAAACCATCCTAATCTACCTTAACCCAAGAACTCTAAATGACTACTCATTCATGGTTATGATTAAACAAAGCAATAAGGTTGATCTTTGTGAAATCATAGTTAGAGGAGGTAGATAAGAGATTTTAAAGAGAAATTTGGATTCAAAACTCAACAAACAAAAGATTCATACAAAAAATTTGAAAGAAAGGTTAAGAGAAGTTTTTTGTTTTTTTTTTGTCAGTCAACCCAAGAGAAAAAAGTCAACTTACCTAGGAGATTTCTTATTGGGGAACACACGTCGATGAAGCACCCTGATGTATCAACTGGAAGTTTTTAAATTTTGATGGACCAACCTACATCGACGTAATAACTTTGATGTGGCATCTTGATGCACCAGCTGGAAGTTTTTAAGTTTTGACATACCAATTTGCATCTACGTGAGAACCTCGATGTGGCATCCTGATGCACCTACACCAAACATGAAGAGGGACTTATTCCCTCAAACTTGACCTATAAACCACATTATCAAATACAAAGTAAGATAAACAAAAATTAAGCAAAAAAATGTACAAGGATACCATGAGATTGCCTCTCAAAGTGCAATTGTTTTATGTCACTAAGTTTAACATTTCCACTCCACTTAGGCAGTTTGAGGTTCCGAGAGAGAAACCGTGGTTCTTTCCTCAATGTGTTCACTTGCAAGTAAGGTTTCAAGCGTTGACCATTCACGACAAACTCCCCTCCAACCTTGTTCCATAGCACCAAAGCTCCATAGGTCTCACTTCTTTGTTCTTAAATGGACCCGACCAACGAGACTTGAGCTTTCCCGGGAATAGTCTCAAACGAGAATTGAACAACAACACTTGATCAGAGAGACTAACCATCTAACATTGTGTTTTATTTTGATTTCTTCTCTTTGAGTCTTACATTGTCAGTAGCTATGTTTTGAGAAAAATAAAAAATGATAAACAATTGGCGGCGAGAGCCTCATCTTTTGCTAGCTTTGGCACCCAGAGGCAAAACCGATTCAAGAGACGAAGGTGACTCGCCGGAAAACAACATATGAATCCACTGGAAGCGTTGGCCGCATCAAAGAGGGGATGTAAAAGAGGATGGAAAAGTGAGATGGTTGGAGCGAGTGTAAAAACAAATGAGCAGAGAAGCGAGAGAGTTGTGGAGAAAGCTTCGAGATGACTGGACATCCCGACGTCGGGGACACGACTCCGCTGGCGTCAGAAAACATTGTTAAAGAAAGTGTTTCGATAAGGGTGCTTGAGAGAAAAAGAAAAGAAAGAGAAAATTATTCCAAAAATATTCAAAATACTTTTCTATCGGAGTCTCAACAAAGGTTGCTCTTACTGATGGTTGGCTCATGGTGTATGGTTTCCGGTAGCTTGGCTTTCTCCGAGTAGGGATTGACAGATGTAGGCCTAGATCCATATAGTGCAGGAGCCGGATTCTTTGGTGGCATAGGGCTAATGTCTGGTTTAACCTAATTTTGACATTGATTGTGGCTTTGTGTGCCTCGTGGGCCTCGTGCCCAGTGTAAGTCTCATAGGCTTCTCCCAATGTTGGGCTTGTTTTTCTTTTTTGGGACTTTGGCCTTTTTCTTTTTCTATTTTATTTTCTGTTATAATTTTCAGTAACCATCTTATAAGGGCTGAGTCCATTGTGTTTTGTATCCACCTATGCTCCTAAATATTAATAAAAAGTGAAAACTCTTTCACAAAAAATATTTATATACTGTCATCACAAAAAATAGAAGCACCCATTAATACCAATCGTTTTTAGCACTTATCAATCAAAGTTACTAACTAGTTTATAACGGATTTACGATGAGCAGAAGTCATCACAAATTATTTTTGTTAATATCAACTAATTTAAAGTTAAATCGAAGAAGTAGTTAATGTATTATACAATGGATTTTACAATGGTTTATTGTAATAGATTCTAATGTTTGCAAACTCTTTGTTAAATTGTGGTTATTCATCACTGAGTAATCATATTTTTATTCTTTCAACAAGTATTTAAAGAAATGTTTTCATTCTTTAATTCTGAAAAGTAGAACTAGGTAGTGGCTAAAATTAGAGGTAATTTTAACGTCATAAGAATAAATTAATCTTAACAGAACACATGTACAACGCATTTTTCTATGAAGCGTTACTTAAAGATCACTGATTAGTTTATAACATATTTACGACGAATAGAACTCGTCACAATATTTTTTGTTAATATCTAATGAGTAAATTTAAACCGAAGATGTTGTTACTGTATTCTTCAACGGAATTTATAATAGTTTATTGCGATAAAATGTAATCATTGCAAACTCTTTGTTAAATGAGGCATTTGTAACTTTTTCTGTGCCCTTTTTCAAAAATATACTCTTCTATTGTTTATTTCCAAAAAGATCCATGTAAAAAATGACTAAATTATCATTTTTAATAACATTAGATAATGAGAAGGTGAAATTTTCTCATATTATTGGCGCCAAAAAGTTTCGGTAACGTGCAAAATTTTCCCGACAAAATTTTTTCCCAATTCCTTAAACCTTATAAATATTTTAAGAATCCGTATAAAATCCTTCCCTTATAAATCATGTAAACCCTTTTAAAATTCTTTAAAATCCCTTTTAAATCTTTCTAAAACTCTTGTAAAGTCTTTAAAACCACTTGTAAGTCTCTTAAAAACTCTTATAAAATCTTTTTAAAACTC